TATTCAATGATAGTTTTCACTGTTCCTAAAACTGAATGTTTTTTGTTTGCATATTTATTTTCATGTCATGGAGGGTATAAGCTAATTAACTTGGACGTCTAATTCAGTTTTGTGCTTTAAGTTAAAAGTTCTTAATTGGAACCGGCTCTTTCTCAATATATTTTACCATTCAAACTAAATATCTATCTCTATGTACGCCAATATATAATAAGCTTACATAACGTATATAATGTATGCTATATACTATAGACAGAAAGTATTGACTGTAATTATTAAAGTATTACATGTAGTAAGTATATTTAAATTATAAGAACATAATTACTTACAGAAAATTGACTTTCAATTGACTCATGCATTATCGTGTTGGATGTGGTTGGTAGTTTAATAATAATAATAACAATAATAATAAAACTTTATTTAAAGAAGGTTTAAAAAGTAATTAAAAATTACACCAGTTTAGTTAAAACTAATCTAGTTAAAACTAATCTAGTTAAAACTAATCTTACACTGGGCCTAGTTTGAATTTAGTTTGCTTTATAATATCCATTGATATTAGATATTCAGTATTACCATTAGGTATTAGATTCTACAGTAAACACCTGCAAACAAGAACACATGGATTATAAAGAACATCTGTCTGGAATTTTGCAAATAAAGCATCACAATCAGCCTGGAAATGTAAAATGTTCTTATGAAATGGATAAGACATTAAAAAATATAAAAAAAAAATGAGTATCAAGGAAGGTCTGGGTTAGGTCCTACCGATTTTGTACCCCAGGAAATTTTGAAATAATAACTCTTGGAAATGCAATTTCCAGCATTTTGAGGGGCATCGAGCACATATAAAGGCATCAAATCCCAGTAATTTTAATTTTTCCTTTCCACTAGTATGCATGTGCGTTTATGCGTAAAGGATGCTACGTGCCTGCAGATAACTACAGTCCATCAGCTGTGATGCTGTTTTGCATTTGTTTTGAGCCTTTTTTCCTTCAAATGATCAAGTTACTGTTGTAGGGAGACATACTGTGCTATTCTTAATACATTTCAATGTAATAAATAATATGATTTGATATAAGCATCAAGTCCTTGCASCTGCAGGTCCTGTAGCTAATGATATACTATTATGCTGCTAATTGTTACAACAATAATATATCATGATATTTGTTAATTTTCTTTTCCATAAATTAAATATGCTAATTTAAATTATTTTTTGCATTGTTACAGTTCTGAATTCTAACAACAAAATTTAAGAAAAATTTAAGAACATTTAGTAGTATTTATGTCGCACAGTTTTAGTGTTTGTACTCTAATCTGTTATGTTTAAGTAACGCAATGCTATTTTTAGAACTTTGGGAAATCGTTGCCCACTTTCCATAGACTAACTGTGAATTTTTTAGGGGGATTTGATTAATACTTATTACTTATCAAAGTTTCAAATATTTTCTTTTGATAGGTATTTATTGATGCGACATTTGGTGCTGGTGGTCATTCATGTGCCATATTAAAATCGGCCATGTGTAAAGTCTTTGCTGTTGACAGAGACCCTATGGCTATTGAAATAGCACAAGTACTTTCCACACGACCTGAATACAAAGCAAGACTTGTGCCAATACATGGGAAATTCAGTCAGTTATTAGAACTAGCAAAATATAACCAGATTGATGAAGAGACAATTCATGGAGTATTGCTTGATGTAGGACCTTCTTCGATGCAGTTTGATGATCCTTCAAGGGGTTTTTCAGTGAACAAAGATGGTCCATTAGACATGAGGATGGATGGACAGACTTCCTGTAGTAACAAAAGAAGTGCTACATTCACAGCTGCAGATGTTGTTAATACCATTGGAGAACAGGAACTTGTATCTGTATTGAGAAACTATGGAGGAGAAAAGGATGCAGGTATAGCTGTTTTTAAAAGTCACTGTAAAGTTTCTGYTACATCTAACCATTTCCAGGACTAACTTTGCGCATAGTTAATAGAGGGAACATAACCATTCCTCTCTATTAACTATGTTTTGCGTAATCATGATGTGTTTGTATCTAAAGGATTTTATTGGGTTCATGAAATGTGAAGTTTCATT